CCATGTAGATTAGATCTAGGTAAGTCTCTCTTAGTGTCCTCATTGTTGTCTAAGTTCTCTGGGATTGTAGTTTTTAGGCTGGCTTTCTTTGCTTTGTGTTTAAAACCACCTATGAGTGAGTACATGTGATAATTGTCTTTCTGTGTCTGGGTTACCTCACTCAAATTAATGTGTTCTAGCTTCATCCATTTTCCTGCAAAATTCAATATGTTATTTTCTGCTGTGTAGTACTCCATTATGTAAATTACTACATTTTCCTTATCCATTCTTCGGTCAAAGGGCATTTAGGCTGTTTCTAGATTCTGGCTATGACAAACAAAGCTGCTATGAACATAGTTGAGCACATGTCCTTGTGGCACGATTGAGTATCCTTTGGATATATACCCAAAAGTATTACTGGGTCTTGAGGAAGGTTGTTTCCTAATTTTCTGATCGCCACACTGACATCTAAAGGGATTGCATTCCCACCAGCAATGCAGAAGTGTTCCCTTTTCCCCACAACCTCTCCAGCATAAGTTGTCATCAGTGTTTTTGATCTTGGCCATTCTTACAGGTGTAAGATAGAATCTCAGAGTTGTTTTGATTTGCATTTCTTTGATGATTAAGGATGTTGAACATTTCCTTAAGTGTCTTTCAGCCATTTTATATTCCTCTGTTAAGAGTTCTCTGTTTAGGTGTGTACTCCATTTTTTTTATTGGATTATGTGATCTTTTGGTGTCCAATTTCTTGAGTTCTTTGTATATTTTGGAGATCAGACCTATGTCTGATGTGGGGTTAGTGAAGATCTTTTCTCATTCTGTAGGCTGTCGTTTTGTCTTGTTGACCATGTCCTTTGCTTTACAGAAGCTTTTCAGTTTCAGGAGGTCCCATTTATTAATTGTTTCTCTCAGTGTCTGTGGTGCTGGGATTCTATTTAGGAAGTGGTTCCCTATGGCAATGTGTTCAAGTGTACTTGCCACTTTCTCTTCTGTAAGGTTCAGTGTGGCTGACTTTATTGAGATCTTTGATCCATTTGGACTTGAATCAGCCCCTTTCTCAGAGAAAGAAAAAATGATTGTGGTTATGTGTTGATTGGCTACTAACAGCTTATAGATTTGACCTCTACACGAGATGTGTTTATAACTTAATGGGGCCTACCTTATCCTAAAGCAGAGGTGTCCTGCATTTTGACATTGCATATGACAGTCATCTATAAGTGTGTTGGGGCTCATCCATAACTGTCTTCAGATGCATCATGGAGGCTTCAGGTGGTACTGCATGGTTCTCTAATCCTGGAAATTTGAGCTGTTATAAGGGGTGAGCATTAGATTGTGTTGTTCTTATTAATGGGTCTTTCTATGCCCTTAAAACATTAAATCTTGGCACTGGAGAGATGGCTGAGCAGTTAAGAGCACTGACTGTTCTTTCAGAAGACCTAGGTTCAGTTCCCTACATCCATACTGAGTGGTTCACAACCACCTGTAAACTCCAGATCCAGAGGATCAATGCCTTCTGGCCTCTGTAGGCACATGCACACAGTTCTGTGCATCCATACAACCAGGCACACATATACATAGAATGGATAAATATATTTTAGAAGAACGAAAAATCAAACCACATAACTATTAGCTTGCCTCTTGTGTAGAGATTTTTGTGTGCTCTTTCTGTTGGGACTTTTTATTTGTCTCACTGTATAGTTGAGGTTAGTCTCAAGCTTGTGATCCTTCTTCCTATACCTACCTCATGAGATGTAGGAGTACAGGGAAGTTTTAATCTGCAAGGAAGGTAATTTGTTATCTTCTGCTTCTGTTTAGAATGACTGATGGATACTCTGGAAGTGATCTAACAGCTTTAGCAAAAGATGCAGCATTGGGCCCTATCCGAGGTGAGTATGAAAACATTTGAAACACTAGAACTTTGAATGGTACCGTGTTATACATTTAGCCTCTTGAGAGATACATAGTTTTACATTTTATTTATTTATGTATATGATAGTATTTTTTGTTTGTTTTTGGTTTCTGTGTGTAACAGCCCTGACTGTTCTGGAACTTACTTTGTAGACCAGGCTAGCCTCAAACTCACAGAGACCTGCCTGCCTCTGCTTCCCACGTACTTGGTGGGATCAAAGGCTCTGCTAGAGTTTTGCATATATATTTATTTGCACCATATGCATGTAGTGCCCATAGAGGTCAAAAGAGGGCATGAGATACCCTAGAACTGGAGTTACAGCCACTTGTGAGCTGCCATGTGGGTGCTAGGAATCAACCCCTGGTCCTCTTGTAAGAGCAGCAAGTGCTCTTAACAACTAAGTCATCAGTATAAAAAAAGTAAAGTTGTATTAGTACAAAACTTGATACAAAACATTATCAGAGTAGAAGTCAGTGTTAGTAATATTTCTTAGAGGAGGTTCTCTACCAACCCAAATAATTCCAATCAGACCAAATTAGACCGAATAAAAGATGTCCACATTTAATGCAAGGCCCCCCGACCCCGCACTGGGAAAGCATGGTGAAGGGGAGAGAGAGAAGCGGAGACCACATGAAACAAGGAGACCATGTGTACATTCTCTGGGGGGGCATTTTAAATAGCCTGTGGGCGTGGTCTTGACCCTCCCTGGGGAGGGGGTCACCATTTGGCAGACTTTCTCTGAGGTGAAGTTTAAACTAAGGCAACTCGCACAGGAGGGGGCTTGAAATGGAGCGTCCTTCCCAGTATTCCAAAGATGGATGATGCCAGGGTCTGGGATGAGGCCCCCGACTAAATATTTCAAACAGTAGGCATTTTTTGTGAAATTTATTAAATAGTTGAGGCTTTCTGGAAAAAGTGTTCTCTGTTGCATGTTCACCATCTTTTCTTTATTAACGACCTTTAAAATGTAAAAGTATATTGATTAAATGACTCAGTGCTAAAAGAATCTGAGTTCAGTTCCTAGCACCCATGTTAGATGACTCATAACTGCCTGTAACTCCAACTCCAGGGGGTTATAGTGCCTCTAGCCTCCGGGGGCACCTCTCCTCTACTTGTACAGGACCCCAAGCACATAATGGTTAATTATAATAAATCTTTTAAATGTAAGGCAATCTACAGAACATGTGAAAATAGCCCATAAGCGTTTCAAAACACATCTTTTATAAGACCTTTTCTTGCATTCTAAAACCTTTCGTACTCCTCCAACCCTAAGTTTGGATCTGTCTCTATATTGGAGATTTACACAGTAATTTTTCGATTGGAGAATTGCTGCAGACCTCTTAACAAATTTTAAGAACAATGATAGTGGCTACAAGTTGTCTTACTACCTGGTATGTAATTGCATCTCATGAGTATACAAACAAAACAACACTGAGTCAAAACAAAGTGATGCAAACTAGTATTTAAATGGAAAGGCTGGCCAGGCAGTACTGGCTCACGCCTTTAATCCCAGCACTTGGGAGGCAGAGAGATAGGCAGATATCAGTGAGTTTGATGCCAGCCTGGTCTGCAGAGCGTATTCCAGGACAGGCTCCAAAGCTACAGAGAAACCCTGTCTCAAAAAAGAAAAGAAAAGAAAAGGCTGCCCAAATGATCAGGTTTTTCCCATCTTAATAACTGCAGCAACAATTATGAAAAACTCCATTTTTGATTTTATTTTTAGGCATTTACAATATAGTATAGCATATTGTATAAAAGAAAACAGTACTTATGTTGCATATGTTAAGCTTAATTTTCCTTTTTTTTTTTTTTTTTTTGCTTTTATATGTGGTCTTGGCTATCTAGGAAATCACTGTGTAGAACAGTCTTGCCTCAGACTCATAGAGATTTACCTGCCTCACAAGTGCTAGGATTAAGGGTATTTGCCACCATGTCACCATTAAATTTTTTTGTTTTTGTTTTTTTCGAGACAGGTTTTCTCTGTAACTTTAGGGCCTGTTCTGGAACTAGCTCTTATAGACCAGGCTGGCCTTGAACTCACAGAGATCCACCTGCCTCTGCCTCCAGAGTGCTGGGATTAAAGACGTACGCCACCATTAATTTTGACAAAGCTAAGACACATAGCATATATTGCAATCATATGTGTATATTCACATCTCTTATGGATATATGGGGTATTAAATATAGTATAATCATAATTATGTTCATTTAACTAGAGTTATAAGGTGATAGCTTAAAAGATTTTAAAGCTAAGTAAGTGTGGTAGTACACAGGCAGAGGCAGGTGGATCTCTGTGAGTTTGAGGCCAGCCTGGTCTGCAAGAGCTAGTTCCAGGACAGGCTCTAAAAGCTACAGAGAAACCCTGTCTCGAAAAACCCACCCCCCTAAAAAAAAAAAAAAAAAAGACTTAGCATTTTGAATACCAGAAGGTAGGTATGCTGGCACAGCCTTGTAATCCAGCTATTTAGGAAGATGACAGAGGAGGGCCACAGATTCAAGGTTAGTATGGACTAGTGAGTGAGATGAAGGCTTGCCTGTGCAGTGTTAAAGAGAGCATCAGCTCAGTGATTGAACATGGCCTTACATGCCCAAGGCCATAGTTCAGTTCCTGGTACTACAAATAAACAAGAGAATCCTAAGGGCTAGGTAAGAGCACTTGCTGTGCAAAAACCCTGTCTCATAAAACCAAAAACTAAAATCAACCCTGAGTTTGAATCTCCAGCATGCATATATAAAAAAAAACTAGATATGACTCCACATGCCAGTAATCCCAGTACTGGGGAACAGTTCCCAGAAGTTAGCTAGCCAGCTAGCTTAACCAAATAGTGAAATTCTGGGTCGGTAAGATACCTTGTTTTTATGTCACTGTTATTTTAGATTTATTGTTTGTGTATTTATGTGTGTGTGAGTACACATGCTTGTGTGCAAGCAAGGAAGCCAGAAGAGGAAGTCCGGGTGACCTGGACTATCACTCCAGGTCTTTTACCTTCACGTAGGATATCTCTCTGAGCCTGGGACTCAGGTTTGCTTGACTAGACTAGAATTATGCAGACCTTAGCAATCCTCTTGTTCTAATGGATTAATTAAAAATGCTGCGGATCCCCCGGAGGCTGCAGCAGCAGGAACACTGCAGGCTGACTGCAGTGGGCCATGTGGCAGAGGGTGGGTGGAGGGAAGGAGGGAGGGAGGGGGGGAGAGAGAGAGAGAGAGAGAGAGAGAGAGA